TCAATTCATTTTAATTCCCCTACCTCATCATAATTAATTTCCAACATATACCTTCATTAATCACCACTTGATCATTAATTTTCCTCCAAATTCAAATTTCAAGCCTAATTTTGATTCCAAACCAAACTCCAATCCACCAAATTTTCCAAGCCTAAAAAAATGGGAGAGAGAGAGAGAAAAGAAGTCTGCCACATATTTCCTCAACTGAATTTATCTCCACAAATTCCATCTCTACCTTTCATTTTCTATCCACTAACTCACTTTAATCCACAACCATCCGTTCAAATTAGGTGTAAAAGTTCACCTATCAAGCCTTATCCTCACACAAGCCTCACGTGATATCTCTACTGTAAAGGATAAATAATTGTCCTCTCTCCTAACACACCACCCTATAACCTGTTTTGAGCATATACCATATGATATAACAATTTTCTTTAAAAAAAACACTTTCAATCATGTGATCAAATTTCACCACTTTCAAATCCAAATTTATTTATAGTCAAATTCGAATTTCCCCTAAAAAAAATTAAAATTTACAACCTTGGCTCGAGGACAAGGTTGATTTTGAAGGGATGGGTAATGATAGAGAGTAATTATATTTAATTGATTAGATATTTTAATTAGTAATTTTAGTATATTGGTTAGTATTATATTCTAGAGATTTCTTTAAGTCTTTAGCATTGTGCGACATGAATGATTATGATGTATTTAGAATTTTATATATTAAGTGTATTGTGTTATTTTGGGAATCAATAAATAAAATCAAATGTTATCTTTTAGCTCTCTCTCTCTCTCTCTCTCTCTCTCTCACACACACACACACACATTTTTATTTGTCTTTCTTTATAATTTAGATTTTAAAACTTTCTTAAGTTATCATCCTAACAATATTCATCTTCTTTGAAGAAATTGTTCACATAGTTGTGAAGTGAATTAGATAGGGCCAACTCTAATAGATGATATTGTTTGTGGTTTGTCGCTTTTGAAGTGTGTGGAACCTATAAGTAATGTTGCTTAAGTAAGCTTTTACCGAATGCAAAATGTATTTTATGTAAAAAGCTCTTTTTATAAAAGTTTTTAGAGGTTTTTGGGGGCTAAAATCTTATAGAAGTTTTTTAGGGTTATTGTGGGACTAAAATCTTTCGATGTATGTGTCACTGCTTTGATGTCATACTAGTGTGTAAGTTGAACGATCTTTTATCTTTATTGGCTCATTATCTTTAAAGATATAATAAGAAAAATAACATCAATAATTTATTAAAATTATAAAGCGATATATAATTTAATAAATTTTTTTCAAAATGATTTATAATTTTTTTTTTCACTTATTAAACTAAATAATGAAAAAAGGTAATGCTAACTTATGTCCCAAGGACACATGTTAAGAAACCATAAATGAAATATGTGTGTTAAAAAACATAAATAAGTAAATAAATTATAAACTTTTAATCAAATCAATACACAATTTTCAAGCACAAAGTTTCTACATTCAACATAAACATTTCAATTATGATTTCACTTTTGGTTTCTTAACATGTGCTATTGAGGCACAAATTAGTATCACCCATAAAAGAATACAAAACTAAAATCCCATGGGGTGCTTCTTGACCACCGTAAAAGTCACGCATGCCCTTAGCGTTCAAAGATTCATCTTAAGACGCACCTTTTTTTTTTTTTGCAACAATCAGCGCAAATTGACAAGCCACCTTTATTTTACCAAAATTTAATTCAGAGATGTATCCTCGTATCAACATTAGGGTGAGTCAGGAGATGCATCTTCGTAAAAATTCTTAATTCAAAATTGAGGGAGTTTTTACGGAGATGCATCTTCAGACGAGTTTATTTCATATACCCGCGTCAAACCTTTTCCCTTGCCTTCTTCATTTGCTTCAAAGTCACTAAAACTCCATTTGAGCTCTTTTACTACAAAGTCATTTCCAAACCCCATTTGAGCAAGTTTCTTCAAGTTCACTCACTCTATTCTACTTCGATTGTTGCAAAGTTAGCACTCCATTCAAGCTTCTCATCCACAACTCTAATTTGGTAAGTTTCTCATCTCATTTCTTTTTTGAGATTTGAATGAATTTTTTTGGTAACATAGGTCGATTAAGATTAATTAGATAATAATACATTCAAAATAGGTAGCTTACATAGACATGCATTCTCATTTGATTAAAGTTTAGGGCATCAACAGGGTTTCTGCCATTTCTGATGCCGCGAGTTTATCTGAAGATGGATCTCTGGATTTTGTCTGAATGGTTTTCATAGATGTATCTTTGGATTTAGTCTGGCTGCAATTTGATGTGATTTTCTGGTTTTATTACACATACAATGGCTGAAAACAACTAGGATAGAATTAGGCTCGGTCGTGTGTCCCAACACACATTTGTATGATGTGAGATGGCTAGAGGCATGACCATGAGGCCACGAGTAGATGCTACCTTGTTTGATGGTTCACAAGGTTGAGGTTTTTAACCATCTGTTTCTACTTCCTGAAGGCACCTTTCTCAAGCATATAAGGAAGCTCGTGTAAATGGTGACTAGTTCAGAAATTCCCTCTTTTTAACCATCTGTTTCTACCTCGTTTGATGGTTCACAAGTTTGAGGTTTTTAACCATCTGTTTCCATAAGGAAGCTTGATGGTTAAATGGTGCACCTTCTATGGTTTACGGTTTTTAACCATCTGTTTCTACTTCCTTCCATGTTTAAAAATCGTAAACCATAGAAGGAAGATTTTGGATTTGGAACAACCCGAAGATGACTAGTTCAGGAATTCCATCCGCTACTTTGGGCTTGCTAGTTTATGTGTTGCTGCCTACAAGATCATAAACCATGTCATGCAAGCGACATTTGCATGACATGACATTCAAAAACATCATCTTTCTACCTTCCTCTTGGTGAGATGACCATCACACTGGATGACGTCTCATGCATCCTACATCTTTCTATTAGAGAAAATTTATTGGACCACAAAAGGCTCAATCGAGAGGAAACCGACGAGGTGATGGTTAACCATTTGGGAGTTGACCCAATGGAGGCCTCAAATGAGGTACTTGACACCAGGGGTGCTCGTGCTAGATTTAAATTATTAGAATAACTTTATAAATACCACATACAAATGGTTGTGGATGGCGATGATGATATGCATGTTAAGTACCACTGACAGTGTGAGTTGAGATGTTACCTCTCATTCCTGGTTGGCACGTCCATGTTTATGGACAAAAGTGCAACATACGTCAATGTGGTCTACCTAAAATACTTCATCGACTTGACGATGATTCACGAGTGCAATTAGAGGGTCACCTGTTTGACCTACCTGTACTCGAAGCTGGGCGGAGGTTGTCTTTAGAAGACAAAACAATCGACAGGAAGCTGCACACTGCTTACGATAATTAATTGTTACTAATATTTTTCTACCTCTTTTATTACACTTGTTAACAATATTTTATTTGAACTATTTTTAGGGGTGGATCATATCCCACTTTCCTTGCATTTTCGGATGGAAACCTGTGCCTGACGACACTGAGGATTGACCATGTGTTTGTGCATTTTCCCCGCTCATAGAAAATCAGGAAATCGAGCCCTTCCAAGTGTATCTTGACCGTCATATAACATATGACATTGTCTTCTGCCCATATGGCGGTCACCGCCGTACGCGTTAGCCGGACGTTATTTTGTTATACTCAAAATGGCTGGCTTGTGGGTCAGGTCTGATGTATTTGTATCTACTCAAGCGAGTAATGCACTAGTTTGGGTATTTATAGGTTATTCTGAGACACCCCTCAGAGTCTACTCCTTCCACCGTTCGCCGTAGAGATATTGATGCCATACTTGAGGATATTGAGTCATTTGGTACTAGAGAACTATCCCAAAGTGCTAGCTCATGTACAATGAGATTATGCATATGACTATATCACATGACTCTATAGGATGTCACATCCTACACTAGATACTCTTAGAAGACCACCTATGTTATCTAATTAGGAGGTACTAAAGGTTAGGGATGACCACACTCAGGACGTTCGCAGCTGTCGGTATGGCGATATCGAACATAGAGGCAGAACTTTTTGAGGAAGGCAATCCCTAGTTGACCCTTGTAGCAGGCATTACTATTGAGACTCAAAATGCCTTATAGTATAGGCGGAAAAGCTCGAGGTTACACATACACAATACTTTGTTTGGTTGTGTATATATATATATATATATATATATATATATATATATATATATATATATATATATATATATATATATATATATATATATATATATATATATATATATATATATATATATATTTGCATTTTCGGACAAATGTTATGTATGGTCGATACTTTTTGAATTTACTTTTATTAATGTATGACTTTTTTAATGTATGTGTAGTATGTTTGAATCAATTAATATACGCGTTTTTTAATTTATGACATAAAATGACCTAAAATATATGTAAACTAAAAAAATGTCAAAGTTAAGACAATGTTGCTGCCTTAAAAACATTCGGAGAGTTTTCGAATATGCACCCTCGTAATATCCCCCGACAATAAATACATATACAATAGTTTAACATGAATTAGGAGGAGGCGGTTATGGAAAAACATCTCCGAACACACCCTAAATAATTTTTAAAAATGTATTTCCAGATCATATTTTAACAAAATAAAATGTGTCTCTAAATTATAAAAATATGTGTGATTTTAAATACATCCCAAATATATATTCAAACACAATAAAAATACTTTTGAATTTTCAGAGATGTGCGGATTAATAAGTACTTGAAATAAAAATCTACCCAGAGATTAGAAGGCCCTTGAAAGCAAATTGACTTGTCCAACTTGAACCACCAGAAGTCCACAATCATTATTAATAAACTATATTACTAGCGAAACTGTGCATCAGAGAGTGAACAGAATACCTGATGACTAAACACTTAGCAATAAATAATCACCACCAATGTTTGAAATTTTTAGCTCCTTAATTTTATTTAAATAATTGATTAAAAAATGACTTGTGTTTATTTTTTCTCTTTAATACCGTTATTACCCTCCAAATTTCCCAATTCCTACACCTCCAACCTACGCCCCACACCGATCGTTTCTCGTTCATCGCAATACCGCCGGAGAACGCATCGGAAAATGCCGGGAACTGAATTGTCCGGCACCGTTCCGAGGTCGGCATCAGCTTTCCGACTCAACATCGATGAAAACGACTCATTATTAGGTTCTCGTACCGGTAAGTGGAATTGATAATTCTCCTTTGTTTAATGTTTATTTATTTTTGAGTGGGAATTTAGGTTGAAGTTGCTCAAAATGTTTCGAATTTTGAGATGATGAATTCATACTAGTGTTTTTTGCTGCAAGAAGTTTTTTCTATGGTGATTGATGAATGCACAGTGCATTCCTTGATGCAAAGAGTTTATTTAACTTAAGTTGCTTTCATAAGCTATTCTGCGGTGCTTATAAAAATAAGTTGAAAACAACTTATTGACATGTCAAAAGCTGTTTACTTATAAGTTGTTTTCATAAGCTATTTTGGCGTGCCTATGACTTTGTTTGGATGAATGGAATTAGATGGAGCGGTATGAGATGGAATGAAGTGGTATTCCATTGTTTGGATGATTTAAAATTGGATAGAACAGAACAGAATGAAGTGGTATGGATTCCATTTCATTCCATCATTTACCACTATATTTCACCCCCTCTGATTTGGGCAGAATGAATAGCTTGTCTTGTTCTGTTCTAAAATTTTCAAAGAATGGAATGAAATCTTCATTCCGCTCGGTTTATTTTGTGATATCCAAACATGGCCTAGTTCTCTCAAATAGTCTCACTTGTGTTTATGTGAGCAGATAAGTTCAAATAAATCAATTCAAATTTCAAACAAATCTGATAGAAATATATTTTATTTTGGAAAAACAGACTTGTACATGCAAATTGTTAGATCTTTATGATGTGAAGGGTTAGTGGACACCATTGTTTGTTTTAGTTATTGTTACCAAAGGAATTGAAACCATTGTTTGTTTCAAGATTTGAACTCTTTTATTGCTTCCAAGGAGTTTTAGCCATTATGTTTTAGAAGGAAACTATTGGCAGCATTGTTAAATTTTGTGGCAGGTGCAGGAAAAGGCGATACATTAACAACTGAGACAGATGTCGAGGCTTCCTCCACTAGTAAAACTGTTCTTCGGAAGAACAGATACAGTACATTGTTTGGGATTGATCTATCTCCAGATACTGCTGCCGTTGCAATGGTATACTTTGTTCAAGGTGTTTTAGGACTTGCAAGGTTGGCTGTCAGCTTTTATTTAAAGGATGGTTTGCATCTGGATCCTGCAGAGGTTTGCATTCTTAACACTCATGGTTGTTCGTGTGATTCACACATCTTTTGATTATTTTTTTATTTGATAACTTTTGCTCATGTATCTGATCCAAGGTGTAATCAATTGATGCGAGCCTTTGCTTGTCTCTGTTTGTTATTGGGATTTAGTAAAGAAAAAAGTAATTGAGACAATAGAGATTATGCATAATATTATCCTGTCTTCTGTATGTTGTTTAGATATGATGTGACACAAAAGATAAAACACTAACCTACTTCAATTGGTCCATATCAAATGTCAAATGTGGAAGCAAATCAGGCACTATAATTAGATATGGGAACAAATTCTGCACGTCACCTGATGAAATACTTTAAGATATTCTAAAATACGATAGTAATATCACAAGATAGAGATATTTCTCAGATATCCGAATAGGGTCAACTGTAAAAACCTAAAAGTGATAGAATTTCCTTGAAACTCTACTTATTTTTCTTTATGGGTTGAATCAATTAACACGAATATTTGAAGGACTAACGTGTTACATATATTGACTAGGCAGCTGTGATTTCTGGTATTTCTGCATTTCCATGGCTTGTCAAACCTCTGTATGGTTTTATTAGGTAGGTTTAAACTGTATCACTTTTCCCTCTTCCTTGTGCGGGATATTCATTATATTCTCATCTTTTGTCTCCCCTGTGGACACAAGTTTAATTACTGGGACTGGTATTATGACATGCAGCGATTCTATCCCCCTTTTTGGTTACCGGAGAAGGTCATACCTAGTTTTATCAGGGCTACTTGGTGCACTCTCATGGAGTCTGATGGCTACTTCTGTTGACAACAAATATAGTGCTGCTATTTGCATACTTCTCGGATCTCTTTCTGTTGCTTTCTCAGATGTTGTGAGTGTCTCCTACTAAGTAATTCAAACATACTGTTTTTCTCCTGGAATCATTTAACCATGGATAATATTTGTGCACATCAATACCAAGCATGCCAACTCACACCTATGCGGGGTTACTAAATTAGAGTGTCTATGCACTGAATCACAATTTACTTTTTGAGATGTGCATAAAATTTCTTTTACCAAAATACGTGCATAAATTGCTTGAGTTGGTTTATTTTCATTCATCATGCGAAGTAGTCATCAGAGTCAGACTCCATGAGTACACCATATTATGTACCGCATATAATTAATGTTTTTGGAATTTTAGTAGTAATTTGTTAGGATATCACAAAAGTCTAAATAAAAAAGGAGGATATGTTAGTGGAACTGGGACGTGAGAGGCCTAAAGTGTGGAGAGTTATGAGAGAAAAAAAAAAGAAAAAGAAAGGAGTGGATGGAAATAACTGAGAGGAGGAAGTTATTTTTTATTTTAAGTATGAAGTTTGTGTTTAGGCAGTTATGTCATATGTTTTATTTGAAAATAACCACTTAGTTGGCAAAGGGAGAAGGTAGATGTCCTGTCTTATAATTTAGCAATTGTGCAGTAGTAAATCAGATTCCTCCTCTGTATCAATCAGAGTCAATAAAGTGAATATTATCTTCACTTTTCTGCACTGAATTACTCCCTCCATTTCGAAATGACTGTCGTTTAAGGTTTTTGCACACAGATTAAGAAATGTAATGATATTGTCATAAGATATTGCACTTTTACTAAATTAGTCTTATTAATGTGTTGGAAATAGTGTACAAAGTAATAATTATATGACACAATTGGAAAAATAACAATTATTACTACATTTAAAAGTGAGAATGACATTCATTTTGAAACAAATTTTTTTCCCTAAAACGACAGTCATTTTGAAATGGAGGGAGTATATATTAAAGGATCTCTATGGCTTTGTCGTCTCCTTCCTTGTGCTTCAGACAGACACAAACCAACGTTTCATTTGTTTTCAATGTATTATGTCTTGCTTTTTGAAATATTTCAATCCGTCTTCTATAGATTAAAATTTTTCAGAGAACTGTCAGACACTGAACTATATTTTAGGTTGTAGATTCAATGGTTGTGGAAAGGGCGCGTGGTGAGTCACAAAGCACTTCGGGATCTCTTCAGTCTTTATGTTGGGGTTCTTCAGCTTTTGGTGGAATTGTGAGCTCCTACTTCAGTGGGTCTTTGCTGGAGGCATACGGAGCAAGGTACTGGGGAGAAGTTTGTAAATCGAAGTACTTCTGATTACATAGCAGTAAATTTTCCCTTCTAATGTTTTCTAATAACACTATGGCCCAGGTTTGTTTTTGGTGTCACAGCATTGCTTCCATTGTTAACATCTGCAGTTGCTGTTCTTGTAAAAGAACAACCAACGCTTGGTACAGCAAGAGGGCAGGCTTTTTCATTTGCCCAGCCCGAGTTTTTGGAAAGTTCAAAACAGAGCATTATTCAGCTGTGGGTTTCTGTACGACAACCCAGTATTTTTCTTCCCACGTTATTTATTTTCTTGTGGCAAGCAACCCCGCAGTCCGACTCTGCTATGTTCTACTTTAAGTATGTCCATTCTGTAAATATTATAATTTTCATTTCCCATTTTCAACAAGTTCTACCTCATGATTTTTGCTTATCAACACATATCATTTATTTCAAAGTAATTTCTTATCCATTTCAGCACAAATTCTCTTGGTTTTACCCCCGAGTTTTTAGGTCGTGTCAAGCTCGTTACCTCGATTGCATCTCTGCTTGGTGTTGGACTTTATAATGGATTTCTGAAGAATGTTCCTCTGCGTAAAATATTTCTCTGGACTACTATTTTTGGTTCCGCTCTTGGAATGACTCAGGCTAGTATTTAGATGTATGTTTGTAGTTTTAATTTCAGAAGGTTGTTTTAATATCTTTCTCATGTTTTAAACATCTTTCATCAGGTTTTCCTTGTTACTGGACTAAATCGGAAGTTTGGAATAAGCGATGAGTGGTTCGCAATTGGTGATTCATTAATTCTCACGGTTTTGAGTCAGGTTATCATTTTCCCCATTTACACCAGTTATATAATGCTTGCTATGGAAAACAAACTATTAGTCCCTAATTATAAAACCCACTTTTTATATATGAAGTCTTTTTACAAGAGCCTTTCCAAATTTTCACTAGCATTAATGACCTTTTTCTAGCAATACCTCTATTAAATATATATACTTGAAAAACAAATTTTTTTCTCTTCTATTATATCATTAATTGTTGCGATAATTATGTAAAGTAGCACTCAATTCTTACAAATTTATTGCTACACCACTTTTCTTAATACCTGTGAAATTTATAGGGGGTCTTGTAATAAGAGACGGAGGGAGGACCTCATACAATTGTTATTAACTAATCTTTCCGCCCTTTATTATAAGACCCTCCAAAAATAATTATGGATATTAAGAAAAGTAGTTGCACTAACAAATTTGTCAAAAATGTGTTACTTTCACATATTCACCCCTACAATTATTGATATTATAAGAGAGAGAGTTACGATTCTCAATGATAAATTAAAATAGGGGCTTTTTTTGTGAAGAAATCATTAAGGCATGCAAAATTTTGAAAATGATCTTATTATACTAAGGGGCAAAAAAAAAGTAAAAAAGGGTCTTATAATTAGGGATTGGAGGGAGTAGTTTTCTTGGTTAACGAAAAGTTAAATAAAAATAAAAAGGTTTCTAGTATTTCATTTGTCTTTCTCTGTTTAAGCTAATCCTTCCATATTTCTGCTTATGCAGTCAAAGTTTAATATTTTCTCTACAATGTTAGATATTCAGGATAATTTTGGTATTGGAAGTGCTTTTTGAAGCATTGCTTTTATATAAGCTGTTAGAAGTTACAACAAAACCATTGAGAAAGTTTATCTCGTTCATCTTTGAAGTTATTTATACTAAACAACGGCAAAAGCTTTTTTTAAAACTAGATGAGTTCAATAACATAGATCATACAAGGCCATGATATCCTTCATGAAATATGTCATAACAACAAACCATTTAATTCTAAATAGAACTCAAAGCACCCTTTCTTTCTTCCACTTCAGTTGTACCCTATGACGCATCTTCCTTATTTTGTTGTTATTTTAAATAGTGAGCCAATTATTGTTATCAATTTCCACCCCTAAGCTATAAATAGTGCGCCTCTTGCTTAAATTTACTTTTACATTCCGTTTAACTTCTTAAGCGAAAGTTATATTCTTCCATATCTTTCCCATTTATGTTTCTCTTGATTTTATGACTATGATAACAAATGCCACCGACTTGTGGACTTGTCTATTAAACACATCAAATATTATAAACTTAACCTAAAAAGATAGGTGATAAATTTGATCTTGGATGTTGTCCTTAAGTTATAACATATAAGTCTTTTGCTACCCCACCTCATGTTCTCACACTAGTTGTTTTGAACTGGAGCTAGAAAATTGGAAGAGATCGAATAGAACAGAGTTCTGACATGGTGGAGCAAGCTTCTGGTATGATGGAGCGGAGGTGAACCTACAAGGTTGACATGCTAACGCCCAAGTCAATGAATGAGTGAGAACGTAATATGAGTGTATCAATGAGAGAATGCCTGAAATGACCCGTGTTTGGACTTTATATACTGTGGACGATTAAAAACCGTCTCGTGGGATACATCGACTCATGCGGGTTGTCGTCCGATCAGATTCAACGGTGGGAAATGCGTTGGAGACTGGAATCACCTGTCTTCGACTGGGGTGTGACCTACCTGTTCCGCATGTCTTTCCATGCAATGCCTGCTATTGGGCCTTCCATCGTGGGTCAGAGAAACGACCCTAAACATTTGCCCTCCCAATCCCTTGCTCTTACTTGTAGAATGAGTGCTTGTTACACATGCTTTCAATCCGACTTTTGGTAGAAGGGAGTACAAGCGCCTTGATGGGACATCAATAACATTGGGAACATGCTCATTAAATTATTCCCTTGTGATTGGTGAACGTTTTGCAAGAGAGTCTCAATGTGTGGCCCTACATCTGATTGCAATGATATCCTCTTGTATCCTGATGCAAGATCTAGACTGTCAATGGTTCATGCTTCTCAACGTCAACCACTGTGGATCGTACGATCACCTTTGCTAGAGGATATACGAGACTTTTTGATGTTACTATCTTCCTTTTTCGTCATTCATGAGTCTTGAGAACTCGTTTCCTGTGTTTGTGATTTCGTCCATCTTCGTCAATGAGTCCTTGCCTATACTGGAGCACACAACGTGCGAGTCAATGAGTTCATCTTCTTCAAGGTAACACTTCAAAAACTTTTCTTTTCTTGCTTTTGGAGAAGAGTTATGTCAGGTTTTGAAGGAGAAAATCGCCATCGATGGTGGAATGTTGGGTGGCGATATCTATTGTGAAAAGTGGTTTAGGGCTTTGGTCCTTCCTGTCTTGTGTTTTGACAAAATATGCCATAGATGACTTTCAATAGGAATGCGGGGTTTAAATTTACATTGATCCTGCTTCTTCTGAAGGCCGTTTCTTTTTATATGTTAGCATCCTACTTTAAAATGGACACAGCTCTCACACTAGAGCCTGGAATGCGCCAGGAGACAACTCGGCTGCGTGGGTAGATCAATAGACATTGGATACTGTTTCCGCCTTCGCCGGTAAGAGTGGCCTAGATCACACCTTCATCGAGGTGGGTCCTTCTTTGGATTGGAGAGTGCTTTCCCCAGAAGGGGATAAAAGGATATGCATCAAGTTAAAGTATAATGAGCGTGTCATCCCTCTTCACAAATGCCTGTTTTTCTTAATTAGTTTCCGCCTCCCTTTTAATGACTTCGAGGTGGGCATTCTAAATCATCGGGCAATTGCCCCTTCACAACTGCACCTGGTGAATTGGGCTTACATCAGAGTCTTCCAGTACTGGTGCGAGTACAAGAGAAGTGTGCCGACCTTGACACTATTTTTTCATCTCTATAAAGCCCAACACAGTTCCACCGACTCGGCGTGGGGTCAAGGTGTGATCTCCCTCAGGCAGAATAGCAAGATGTTCGAGGTGTATTTAGATAGTGTGAATAATTTCAAGGACCGGTATTATTTGATTACCCCCTTAACCGACTGTCAGAGGTGCTAGATTTTGGCGTTGGAATGGCAGGAAGAGTAACTAAGATTGGAACATCTTCAATTGACGTAGGAAGTGAAACCTCCCTCAATGGATCAAGAGTGTTTGTTGGAGCGTTTCTTGAAGTAGTAGTCGCGGCGTTGGCATTGCGTGCAGTGGGTGAGCCAGTGGCTTTTGCTGCTGCCATGATAATAGGAACTGGATCGGCGATATGTATGAAGAAGAGATTGACGCTTTGAAAGAGGAAAGATGAGTGATCTGAAAGAGAAAAGATCAGTGATCTGAAATCGCGGTGAAGATATGGTGGTTCTTTGTGGATATTCATGAGAGTCAGAAGCCGATTCTCACAAACGGTGCCACTGGTGGTTCCTCGGCTGTAGTAAGGTCTCACCTGTTCTGCGCATCTTTCCGCGCGATGCTTGTTGTTGGGCCTTTCGTTGCGGGCTTTGCGAACGACTCAGAACAGTTATCATCAAAATTTGAAGGGATATGAAACAACCTTTGTGGTGGCCGTTAGACTTTCTAAGTACAACAATTTTATTATGTTGGAACACCCTTATACAGGCAATACAATGGCTGAACTGTTTTGTAAAGAGGTAGAAAGACTACATGCATCCCAAAATCTATTGCAAGTACTTTTGGAAGGAATTATTTCTGCTGCTTGGCACAGGAAAAGTATAAGCTTAGCATATCATCCTAAATCCGATGCACCGACTGAAGTTTATATAGATGATCAGAGTTTACCTCAAGTGTTTTGCGTCAGGATTGGGACAACCAATCAACTGACCGAAGTGGCTTGATTGGTCTGGATTATGGTATAATACCACTGACCATGTGTCTGTTGGTATGATACTATTTGAAATGGTGTATCGATGCAAATCACCACTATTACTTGTTATTTGCAAGGGGGAACTCTAATGGAAGCAATGGCATGAGATTTAACTAATTTGGGATGAGACTCCTGGTCAACTAAAGGGTAATTAAGAGTGAGCAAGGTGTAGAATGAAGAAGTTCACATATAAACATAGATGTGACAGTTATTTGCAATTGGAGAATGAGTTTTTTGAAGTTCAGGCCATACTGACAGCGTTATGTGGCAAGAAAATGATCTTTGTTGAAATTTGTATATATATATATATATATATATATATATATATATATATATATATATATATATATATATATATATATATATATATATTGTTAAGAATATTTGTATATAAAATAGTCCCACATCGACTATATCATGTAATTAGTTGTAATCTATTTATATATAATAATGTCTCCGTAGTGCTTTTTAAAACACACGGTTTATTCATGTCTCTTAGTCTTTGTGTTTCAACATGGTATCCAGAGCCTACTAAGAGACAATTCTTTCTTCGCCGTATTTTACCCGGTTGACCTACTGTCTTCTGGTGAGAATTTTTTTTTTGGCAAACCGTGTTGTCGCTCTGGTTTGCCTCTCACTTTTCAAAATTCTCCGGTAACCGTCTTGCCGCCTTACCGCCGTTACCGTTCTGGCAAAACTTTCGACGACGTTTCGAAAAACCGGTTTTGTAGGGTTGAGTAAGGCCCATCCATCCAACTCGCTGTCCTCCGATCCGGTCGTCGCCCTTTTTCCCGCTGCTGTCCTCCGATCCAGTCGTCGCCCTTTTTCCCGCTGCTGCCCCAGCGCATCAGGCGGCTGATTCCGACCGTTTTTTTGCCGATCTACTCGCCTCTCCTCACCCATTTCAGATCCGGCCTTTGTTTTACTTTCCGACTCACGGAAAACGGTGCTCCAGTGCAAACAACCCCGATTTCACTCTGTTTTTTGTGATTTCACTCTGTTTTTTGTGTCATTAAGCTATGGGAGACGCTGATTCTGTCTCGTTTACTAAAGTTCCTCTTATCCCATGTGAAAAACTAACCGGATCAGCAAACTATAA